TGGGCTCGACCTCATCGGCGGGCGTCCCCGCGGAGGCCCGCTGCGCGGAGGGCCAGTGCAAATGGGCGCCACCTGCGGCAGAACTGGCGCGGCCGACGCCGAGGAGGTCACGGCAGCAGGTCAGGGGCCTCGCGAGGGAGAAGGTACACGCTGGTCGTTGAAAGTGGGTACAGCCAAGACGCTGCCATAAGGAACAGTTTGGATTCGGACGGGGTTCGATGTTCCTTCCGTCCTTCCGTGGTTGTTCCTCTAGCCCTTCTCGCGCACCCAGGCTTTTGGAAGCCACAGAGGGGCTTCGTTCCTTATTTTGCGTGCCTTATTTCAGCAGCCCGACTATATTCTTTCAGGAGGGGGAAAAACACACAGACACAATTAATCGCCGATTCCCAGAAACTATGGGAAAATATGGAAAGTGGGGGGGAAGACAGAAACCCAGAAAATATATGAAAATATGGGGAATCCTTTTATTTGTGTGTATTTATTTGTGTGTCTCAGGGCCCCTTCATTCTTGGATTCCCTGAGATCCGACGCTCCCAGAAAGATGGAGCAGGCGGTTTTGGATCGTCTTCGGCCTCCAGGGACCAGGGACCCTCGCCGGGCCTCGGGAGCGTCACACACCGACTCGGGACGAACAATGGGTCCCGGGGAAGGGGTCCGGACCTGCGGGGCCCACGCATCGAAAAAACTGGAGCAGCCAGATGTCTGAGTTCCCAGATCCCCGTGTCCTTCAAGCGCCTGCGTATTTCGAGAGCCGATCTGCTCTTGCCGAGTCTGATTTTTTTTATCTGGGAGGTCCTGAGCCCAATCTGCTCGATCCGCTGTCCTAGTTCATGTTCTTACACCTACTTCTTCCGACCGACGTGCACCCAGGGTTCGGAATTTACAGCGATGTCCGACGTCACCGCCACCACCGTCGTCGTCGTTGTCGTCGTCGTCGTCCTAGCCGTCGCCCTCGTCGTCCTCGTCCTCGTCCTCGTCCTCGTCGTCGTCGTCGTCGTCGTCGTTCGTCCTCGTCGTCGTCGTCGCCGCCGCCGCCGTCAAGAACGTACCCAGGGAGAACGCTTTACAAGCCTGGAGACCCGAGGCTCCGAAAAAGTTGTAGCGGCCAGTTTTTCGATGTTTTCGGCCTCCGGGGGCCGTCGACGGTCCCCAGGGCGGTCAAAAACTAATCGGGATGAAAAAGCGGCCCTATCGGGAAGTTGTCCAGATCTCCGGGGGTCCACGCATCGGAACAATTGGAGCGCTGGACGTCTGGGGAAATTGGTGGTGATCACATACCGTTCCCCCTGCGCAGCGTATTAATTTTAGTTTCTGTTCGTTTTTTCGTCCATGTGCTAGTTCGGCGCGTTCCTGTGCCCATGTGCTGTCTAGGTGCGGCTTCGTGTGTGTGTGTGTGTGTCGTCCACCCAGTATCGCGGCCGCTGGCGTCGATGCGTAGGTCAACACCCTGCCAATCTGCCGCGCAGGACCACTGTGTTGGCCACGCCAACAATCTGCACAGCAGCAGTTTTCTTTGCGCTTCACAGTCCAACGCCGCTCTGTTGATTCAGTGGCCGCAATTAGCCTCGGGTTGTCGCGCTTCAGTTTATTTTGACTCGAGTACGTTCCTCGTCTACTGGCCGCTGCATGTTTCGTTTGGACTTACAGGTTTTCTGACACACCCACCGCCTGTATTCTGCAGTGCGCAACGCTGTTACGCTGTGTTGTCGACAAAACTGGTCGCAATTTCTATTTCCATCTGCTGACCGCGCTTGAGGACCCTCTGCGCCGCTGACTCAAAGTGTGTGTGTGTGTGTGTGTGTGTGTGAGTGTGTGTGTGTGTGTGCCAGACCACCTTGTCATCAATGCCCAGATGGCATGGTTGGCCGCGGCGCTGCTCGCCCTGAGCGGCTGGAGGGCTCGGCCTTGAGACGCGCGCGCGCGCTTTCTCCTCTGACCCTATGGGCGCCCTGTCGCTGCGCGCGGGGCCGCGGCGCCAAAAAGTGGGCGCGGAGGGGGCGAGAGGGGGAGGAGGAGTAGGAGGAGGAGGAGGAGGAGGAGGAGGAGGAGGAGGGAATAGGAGGAGGAGGAGAAGTAGGAGGAAGGAGGAGAGGAGAAAAGGAGGGAGGAGGAGGGAATAGAGGATGAGGAGGGAGGAGGAGGAATAAGGAGGAGGAGGAGGAGGAGGAAGGAGGAGGGAGGGGTGAGGAGGAGGGAGGAGGAGGAGGATAATAGGAGGAGGAGGAGGGAATAGGAGGAGGAGGAGGAGGAGGAGGAGGAGGAGGAGGAGGCGCGTCGACGCCCCGCTGCCCGTGCGTCGCTGCTGGGTTGCCCGGGAGCCCCGCGCTGCCCCCAAGGAGGGCTTCGACCGCGCCGCCGCGGGGCCCGTCGCCGAGACGTCGTCGGTGCTGCTGCCGCTTCCGGGGGCACGTCCCCCCGCGCTGCGCCAATGCCGTTTTTTGTGTCCTTTCTTTTATTGTTATTATTGTTATTTTTAGGAGTATGTATTATCATGAATATTACTACTACTACTACTACTACTACTACTACTACTACTACTACTACTACTACTACTACTACTACTATTACTACTACTACTACTACTACTATTACTACTACTACTACTACTACTACTACTGCTGCTACTACTATTATTATTCGTAATACTAGTATTAGCATTACCAGAATTATTTGTACTACTACTACTACTACTACTACTACTACTACTACTACTACTACTACTACTATCATTATTATTACTAATGTTATTATTGTGCTTATTAGTCTTATTATTATGAGTATTATTGTTATTATTATCATTATTACTATTATTATTATTTGTCTTCTTTCTCTTATTATTCGTAGTATTAGTATTAGTACTAGTATTATTAGAGTTATCCGTATGTTATTATTATTAATATTATTATTTATGTATTTATTTATTTAGTTGTTTATTTATTCCATGTATATGTATTATTGTTATTTTTATTATCACGATTATTATTATTATTAGTATTCGTTTTATTATTATTATTATTATTATTATTATTATTATTTTGATGACGATGATTTTATTCTTATTATTATTATTCTTATTGCTATTATTAGTGTATAATATTTAGGTATTTTTTTTTTAGGGGGGGGGGGGGGAATTTTTCTCGGCGCCGCACCCACATGGGGGTGTCGCGAGAGGGGGGGAGGGGGGGCTTCTGAGAAGGCAAGGGGGGGGGGGCGCCTTGGAAGGGCGGGTGGTGGCGCGGGCGTCTCCGCGTAAATGCCCTCCTCCTGGCACGCCATGCATCTCGAGAAGCGCCACGCTCGTGCCGAATGGGGGAGGGCAGGGGGGCCTCGGCCCCCTTCAGAGGCAGGGGCTTCTGAAAACGGGTTTTCCGGAAGCTCCCGGAGACCTTCCGAGGAGGAGGAGGAGCCCGGCCCTCCAATATCGCGGAACAGGGCGAGTTGAGGCATTGGCAGCCCAAAGTCGGTCCCTGGGCCCTCCCTGGGCGCTTGCGCACCAGTTCTCTGAGCTGCGCCCAGTCGTGGCGACGAGGGGCCCCCGAGGGCCAACTATCGGTGCCTCAATTGGCCTTGTTCGGAAATTCTGCCCGCCGCGCAGCAATCCGTCCCCGGCGGGGCTGCCGGGGGCCACTCCCGCGCGGCACCCCGCCGGCCTCGCGCTGGGGGGGCCGCCGGGGGGGGGGGGAACACATTAGGGGCAAATTTCCCCCCCAGGCGGCACTCGGGGCAGTGCGGGGCCGCCAGGGGTCCCCGCCCGTGCGGCACCCCACCAGCTCCCATGCTGGAGGGGCCGCCGGGTGGGTCGGGCGTCACCTTCCAGACCCTCGGCCGCGGGGAGGGTACGCAGGCCGGGCGCTAGGCGGCCTGCCTGCGGGTAGGTGCCCGCGCCGGGCGGCCCGGCCGGGCGCGCGGTCTCGACGCTGCGGGCCGCGTCAAGCCGAGCGGGAGGAAGGAAGGAAGGAAGGATGAGGGGGCGGAGGAGGGGGAGGAGGGGGTGGAGGAGAGGCCCGCTCAGAAAACCCCCCCCCCCCCCCGGGGCGCCCCCGAGCGGGGCCCTGCCCTCTCGGAGGCCCCCCCCCCCTGCCTCCTGAGTTCAAGGAGGCCCCCCCGCGCGACCCTGCCCCCCCTTGGCCTCGGCATCGCTCCGAGGAGGGAGCGAGGCCCTGCCCCAGCACTCCCTCCTCGGCCTCCCAAGTTCAAGGAGGCCCTCCCCCTCACCACCCACCAAACCACCCCAACCCAACCCGAAGGCTCAGATTTACCCTCGATTTCCAGTGGGGGGGGGCCGGGAAACATCGAACAAACACACGTGGGACCCTTACCCCCCCCAACCCGAAATTCGGGTCTTCGGGTTGGGTTGGGGTGGTCTGGAAGGTAGTCACCCCCCTGCCCTGCCCTCTCGGAGGCCCCCCCCTGCCTCCTAACTTCAAGGAGACCCCTCCGCGCGACGACCCTGCCCCCCCCTTTGCCTCGGCATCGCTCCGAGGAGGGAGTGAGGCATGCCCCATCGCTCCCTCGTCGGCCTCCTCTGCTCCGCCTCTCCTGGTTTCTGTGCACCTGCTGGGGTACTTCCAGGCGCAGCCGGCCATCCTTTGGTGGACGCCGGCGTGTCGCGCATTTGCTGGCAGAGCCGCGTGGGCGCCCACACTGATGCTGAGCGCGGCAAAAAAAATTGCCTTGGCATCGCTCGGCCGTGTGATTTTGGGTCGGCGGGGACCATCGAGGGCCATCCTGGGTGGGCTAGCCCAAAAGAGGCCGCGCGCAGAACCGAAAGGTGCACGGGGAATGGATGTCCGAGCGATGGCCAGAGTGCGCGCCGCCAAGTTTCGGCCCCCAGCAGGTCCCCAGGCAGACCCGGAGAGCCGCGACACACTGGGGCAGGTGACGGAGGCGGCTCCCCCGGAGGCCCTCGAGGCTGACCAGGCCGAGGCGGCTGAGCTGGACCAGGGCTTGGACCTCTCTAGCGATTCGCCTCTGACGCAGGTTTCCATGGCTTCCCCGCCCCCCCGGGATGTTGAGGCGAATGGACTGTCGTTTTTCCCCACACCCGCAGATGCACGATCGGACGAGGAGCCCTACGATCGCGAAGTCACGCTGACGAGACCGGTCAAGGATGGAGTGGCCGTCGGGCTCGGCATCGGCATTCGCCGCGTGTCCCGCAACACACAGCTCAGAATTGACGATATCCTGGATGGCGTCGTCAAGCAGTGGAACGAGAATAACCCAGACAACGTGATCGAGAAGGGCTTTCTCATCATACAGGTAAACAGCGCCAGATCCAGCTCGGCAGCAATGCTAGAGGAGATGAAATCGGAGGTGGAAACGCTCAAGCTCGTGGTGCGAAGGCCAAGCGGCAATGCTGCGCGGAGGAAAAACCACACGCGGCCGACGTGGAGCCTGGAGCACGTTCCGGTTGTCAAAATCGATTCCTGATCGCTCAGGGCGCCGCCTCCTCCTCCTCCTCCTCCTCCTCCTCCTCCTCCTCCTCCTCCTCCTCCTCCTCCTTCTCTTCTTCCTCCTCCTCCTCCTCCTCCTCCTCCTCCTCGCTCC